CTCCCCCCCCTCCCCCTTGCCCTTTCCTCCTTTCCTCTCTCTCATCATTCTGTAAACAGAGTTCAGCCTACCTGGATACCTCAGTCAGCCACTGAAAATCCAACATACTGGATGGGTGCACCCCTTCGTTCTGGCCAGTCAGTATCCCTGGGAAGGCCATGCCAACGCCCTCTCTCCTCCTGCCCCTGAACTATGTGGCTGGAGAAAATTGTAAAACTTGACCAGATCCTTGAAGTCTCCGGGCTCCCCTGGGTCCTCCCATAATTGATCAATCAGTGCCTTTGATAGCTCGCTCTCTGCCCTTCCATTGCCCCAAGGCTGAGCCCCAGCCTTGCATTGCCATTCTCTGCAGATCACCTTGCCTTCAATTCCCTCAGAAAAACATCACTTGGCAGGAGCTCCTTCAACTTCCCTTCTCTCTCCAAAGTGTCTCCGATTCTTCATCCTTCCCTTTATCCTTTCTTACCAAAGAGAAATATCTTTAGTCTTGGTGATGAAGGGTCCACATCCAACTCAAATCAGCATGTGAGTAGGAGGTCCCAAAGGTTGTGCATGGTCATTAGAGGCAGCAACACCTCTTCATCGGGGGTGGTTCTCTCCTCAGGACTTCTCGCTATGGAAGGATCTCAGGACGCCAGCTGGGCTGAGGCAGACCCCCACCAGGAACCCATAAGGGAGGCCACAGCCCAGGGCAGCCTCTCCAGCATCTTCCTCATCCTGCCCCTGACCATCCTCTCAGCTAGGCTTCTCCATTCCTGCCTTATTTAATTACATAGCTCCCCTTACTCACACTTGTATATTCTATTTTTCTCCTCTAGACCCTGACCCTTAGTTTAAAATATACTCAAAGCTCTTCCAGCCTAAATTGTCCCCCTCTCAGTCCTGATGTTCCCCTAGCTACTGCCTTAAATGTCTGTTTTCCTTCCCAGCAACTCCCTTGAGAGTAGCCAACACTCAACACCATCAACTCAAACTGACCATTTTTTCACATCTGAATTCTGATTTCCATGTGCTCCTCCCCACACCCCAATTCCACTGACAGTGCTGTATTAGGGTTGCTGAAGATCCAGGCCATCAAATCCAATTCTTCTCTAATAGACTGCATACCTGTGTTTGGGAGGATTTAAAAAATAATGCATGTCTACACAGAGCACTGACAGGGGAGCAGGATTGTGTCGATTCTCATTATAGTAGGTGCTCCAAGGAGGAAGCAGTTCTTGGGCATAAAGCCCAAACTCCTTTGCCCAACTTGACAGCTGAATGCTGGGACTTGACCTAATTAAGGGAGATGACAGATTTCCTGACAGCCAGGTGTTATCACCCCCATTATACCAAGAAAAAAGGCGAGGCTCAGAAAAGAGTTACCTATATATGGATTGCCCGAAGTTACACAGTGCGCGTTCGCATCAGAGCTCTTTTCGTCACATAGTAATGGTAATAGCTACCACTTAATAACTGCTGTAATCAGGCACATGCTAAGAGATTTGGAGACCATTACTCGCTTAATCCTCTCCCAAAGTACAGACTAGAATCTCCACTGACCACTCCACAATGCTGCTGGGATGTCTCATGGACATTTCAGTGGTGACACATCCAAAAATGGTCTTTTCCCAGAAACCTGCTCCACTTGAAGCTTTCACTGTCAGTCAGACAACTTCGTTACTAGTTGCTCAGCACACAAAAGCTGGAGTCATCTCTTTCACACTTATACAGTTTCGAAAGACAGAAAGAAGAGAAAATCCTCTTGTCTCCACCCTCAAAATATACCCGAAATCTGCCCACCTCTCACCACTTGTACTGCTACTAGTTTGGTGCCAACCACCGTCATCCCTCACTTAGATTACCTGGTATGCTCCTACCACGCCTCTCCGCTCTTTCTCTCTCACCTGCCTCTCCCTCATCATATTCTTCTCAACACAGCCAGAGTGATCCTTTTAAAGCAAGGCAGATCATGACCCTCCCCTGCTCAAAACTCAGGAATGGTTCCCCATCTCACTCAGACGAAAAGTCAGAGCCTCACACGGCCTAACTGTGATGGCGAACCTTTTGAACTCAGCGTGTCAGCATTTTGAAAAACCCTAACTTAACTCTGGTGCCGTGTCACATATAGAAATTTTTTGATATTTGCAACCATAGTAAAACAAAGACTTATGTTTTTGATATTTATTTTATATATTTAAATGACATTTAACAAAGAAAAATCAACCAAAAAAATGAGTTCGTGTGTCGCCTCTGACACACGTGTCATAGTTCGCCATCACTGACTAGGAGGTCCTCACAGATCTGGGCCCAACCCCTCTTTAGAGGTGCCTCTCCTGCTACTCCCTGCCTTCACCTTAACACTCCAGCCATCAAATCGCCTCCTCAAACACGCCAGGCCTGCTCTTGCCTGAGGCCTTTGCATCAGCCGTCCCCGCTACCTGGAGGCTCTTCCCCACCTTTGTCCCCCATGGGCACCTCCCTCGCCTTTTTCAAGTTCACTCAAACCTCACATTCTCATTGTGACCAAACTTTTCACAACTCCTGATTCCCCCTTACTCTCTGCTACTTTCTTCTTTTTTAGCACATGACTTTTTTTAAAATCCTCACCCAAGGATATTTTTCCATTGATTTTTAGAGAGAGTGGAAGGGAGGGGGAGGGACAGAGAGAGAAAAAGATCAACGTGAGAGAAACATCAATGTGAGAGAGACACAACGGAGGTACATGACCTTGACCGAATCGAACCCTTCAGTTCTCTGGCGACACTCTATCCAATGAACCAAACCTGCTAAGGCAGCGAATCAATTTCTAACTGTTAGAATCTAACATATTATATAATGTACTTATTGTTCACACCCCTCCAGAATGTAAACTTCTCAGAGAAAACGATCTTTGTTTTGTTCACTGATATATGCCAAGTGCCTTAACAAAAGTCTGGCACATAGTCAATTTGTTGAATGAATAAACCTGATGACAGATTTACACCGTATGACTGTCAAAAACAACGCCCTTTGTAATAAAAGGCACTTTTGACAACCCTTATCCCATTCAAGTCTGAAACACGATTTGCGAGCCTTGCGCAGCTCTCTGCCTCCATCTGGCGGCAACTGTCAGACTGAATTGTTTCTCTTCCAGCGCAGTCACAAGTTTGTTCGGAACTATTCGACTCGGCTGTCACTGAGTACGCATCGGACAGAGATCCACGAGCACGAGCTCCGAGCCGGAAATTGCAGTGCCGTGAGAACCATCATCAGTAACCAATAGGAACAGAGGTCTTGGTCACGCGGTGCGCGCTCAGCCTATGGGGCTGTCAAGGCCGGCCTGCTTCCTCCCTTCCGCTCCACGCTC